CGGTTACCGGTTCAAACCATTGTCAAGAAAAACAGGATTTTATAAGAAAATAACGATCTTTCATAAGGATTAACGAAAGTGAATCAAGGTCGGAAAATCTGAATCTGAAGTCAGCTTTTGAAAATTTTGAGTTTTAGTCTTCACATGTAATGTTGTTCAGGAATAAATTTTTCGAGAAAAAAAGACGATTTTCAAGGAGCAGTTTAGTCTTGGGAAGTAAAAATTCAAACGTTCAAGGACCTGATTCAAGATTTAGATTCTTCGACTCAATCTATTTTCTTCAGTCTTTACAAAATATCATGACTTTTCTACAAAATCCTTTTCTTTGCCGAAAAATTTATTTCAATATTTTCAAAAACTGACTTCATCAGATTCGGATTCTCCAATCCCGATTTACTTTCGACAACCTTTATGAGGTATCGTTATTTTCTTATCAAATGCTATTTTTCTTGACAATAGTTTGAACCGGTAACCGTACCTACGGTTATCGGTTTGGACCGGTGAAACGATGACGATGAACCGGTGAATGATCGTCACCGTTGCATCCCTACCCACACTTATCTACATACCCTTCTAAATCCTATAAAAATGGTCTGGATGTGTTGACAGTAGTTTAGTCTTGCAACGGGAAGCGTGAAATTGGAAACTAAGATGTGTTTTGTGATTATTTTCACTTAGGGCTGTTTTGTGTACAAAGAGTCCCCCGTTCTTTCAGCAATCGAATAATTATTTATTAAATAATACATCGATTGATCAACAGTATACTGATTCTGATACTTGATCATCATCAAGTATATTTATCTATTCATCACTTACATCAATTGACATTCAATAAGTATTCATAATATACTATTTTTATACCAAAGTACCGTCATTTATACAATGATCTTTGATCAAAGGTCTCCGATTACTTCTTCTATAGCATAATAATTATCTTGTAAAAAGCTCTGTTTTAGTGACTAAAATATAATTGACTGATATCTATAAACGACTCCATCAATCACACGCAAGAAGTGTAAATCAAATAAAACGTCTGACTGAAGTTACAGCTAGTATTTGTCTTATGAAGGTACTTCTCTCAGAAACGAGCTTTTACTTTTTTATGGAATTCAACTAACATTTCAAAGAATGTTCTTCTTGACTAGAATAGATTATGGATAAAATATCCTATACGTAGGCAACGATTTCATAAAAAAGATATGACCTAACATGTCTGGATGGTTTTAAGGTTGGAAATAGCTCTCATGACTAGGTTGTAACAGGGCTTGATTTTTGAATTTTTCTTCGTTTGCCTTTTAAAAATTCTTAAACCCATGGCCAAAAAATCATTGATCAAAACGAAAGATCTATGGTTTTTATTTCTTCAACAGACAAATTCAAAAATCTGGCTCTTTGATGATCTAACCCTACTTGTCTAGAATACATTAGAAAATAAAATTATCATTTCTTTATAGAGTCGCTATGGAGAAAAATAGAATATTCATTTTTGAAAACTTTCTTCAAGATGGAGTTTCAGAAAAACTTCTGTAATATTATCGTAAAATCAATCAACTGTAACGTATTCAAAAGTTCTCAGAACAGAAGCTATTTGAAAAATCAAAGAATTCTTTTTATTTTACTTTGACATAGAATATCTTCGATTACAATCATTTAAAGATAGATGACCTTTAAGTAGCGTATTGATTAGTTGAGAGTGTAATCTTTGAATTGTAGAGTTTAACATGATTGGTGAATAAGCGGTAGATTTTAGATGGATAAAATAATTTTTTTACTGATATAATTCTCTTTTCTAGGACTATTCAAAAGAAATAAACATGTCTTCTTCAGTTAGCAAAAAATCAAATGATTCAGAACTTTGGCCACTAAAAACAATGAATAATCCTTCAATATGTACAATTGATCATCAAGACATGAATTCCAATGATATTGAACAAAAATTAAATGATAAAAAGCGATAGAATAAGAGTAAAAGAACAATAGTTCATACTGATTTATTAATAGATGGTTATTGTTTAACACAAAGAGCTGATCGAGAAAATTTCGATAGTTTTGAGTATTTATCTGAAGATGAAGATCTATGATTAGATTACTTTTTTGCCAAAGATGGGAATCAAATGAATTAATAAACAATTTTTAATTCGAGAAAAATTATCAAAAACCTTTAAAAAATGCTCTTTTAGATCTGATTGGTGTTGGTACGAATGTTACGAAGAAAGAGGTCCACACCTCACACATACTTTGCAGTTGCATTTCCTAATCATGATACTTATTTCTAGTATCACTCTTACAGATATACATTTGACAAAATTTTTTTTTCTTACACCAAGAAATACCGGAGATTCTGGATTTATTTGCTTCAAATGGCAATAAAAATTTTTACCTTTGATTTACCTGAACTCGAGCTAGGACGTACGTATAAAGTGTTGCATTGAGAGAATATTAATAAGAAGAATGAAGACTAAAAACCGTCCACTTTCACCATTCTACTTTAAGGAAAGAAGCAAAATGGAAAACAAAACAATAATTAGAAATAATTAAAAAAGCTTGTTAGCACAGCTCCTGCGGAGCTGAAATGTGGAGCTCACGCAAACCTTTAGCTTTTTTACCTGACGCATCATCTGCATACTGAAAGACTTCTTGTCAACTATAGTTGTTTTCATTGAGAATCAAGGAAAAGAGCGGGAATTTATTATTTATTTGTATATTAAAAAACGAAAATATTGTTTTTTCATTTAAGTGCGCTCGATTTCATTTATAATTATTGCTATATACTCGATAATAATCATTTTTTTGCTTTTTAATTTGAAATTATTTTTCTCCACCATCAACTATTTGATGAGTAGAACTATTAGAATAATGTAGTTTATATGCATTAACAGCTATCACACTAGTTTATGTCTCAATTAATCCATAATGCCGATATTGTTTATTACTCACACTGATAAAAAGATCGAATCATACATCTCATATTATAATTATATGACTGCTATGACAGATCAATATATATTATTAATTTGCCCCCCCCCCCCTGATTTTTAACATGCAAGTTCAAATTAAAAGAAAGATCCATGAGTACATTATAACGAACTTTAACAAATATATAAGTTTTTTCAAATACGTATGAAAGTATTGAGATATTATATAGCAGTCGAACTGATATTCTTAATATTGTTTAACTCGCTACTTTTTATTGCTGAATAAATCTGCAGCGTTTTATGCGCGGTTATTGTAGTCTGTAATTGGGGGGGGGGGGGTATGTGTATGCAATGTTCTGTTTCGTTGCTATGGTCTGTAAGGGAAGATGGAGGGGGGCCGCGAAAACTCGAACTTAAAACTTACACTCATGATTTTCTTAAAGTAATTCTTATTGTTTAGCAGCAATCATATTTGTAAGATAGTATCTGATGAATTATGTTAAACTCACAAATCAAGATTATTTTCTGAAGTCGAATAGTGAAATTAAGATTTGTTAAGTTATACTATTCTTATGAGCTATATGACAGAGAAAAGATAATTTATTTCTTCCATAATAAGACATTGATATCAAATACTATCGATTAATATTTTTCGGATGAGTAGTTACCTAGTAAATCTTCTATATCAATGATTATTTTTATATTCAATAATTTACATCGATTATCTTAAATTAACAAAACAATTTAAATTTTCAGCAAGATTTTCTAATGATATTTGAAAAAAGTGCTTTGTCAGAATTTAGATGAATAAATTACTATGTCATCAAAGTAAACAATTTTCTTTATAAAATGCCTTGTCATGATTGCGAATGCATTTCACGTTGATTGTATTCTATTTCTATCAAAAAAGCAATGTTCGAAACTTCTCATTCTTTTCTCTTTTTAATATTTTTCTCTCTCTCGATCGTTTAGTCATACTTGCCGTTATTAGACACACTTCGTCTTTGCATAGAAATAAGAATAATACAAGAAGAGGCGCACATGTATATAGATATATAAAGAAAGAGAGAATAGTATAAGTGTGCATTATACAAAATAGTATCATCGTTATGTCTACTCGTCGATTGGTAACTGTGGTAGGAGCGACTGGTGCTCAAGGAGGTGCCGTTGTTCGATCATTACTTGAAACAGACAAATATAAGGTAAGTTCGAATAAAAAGAACAATCAAAAATATCGATTATCTTGGTTTTGAAATAGATTCGTGCTTTGACACGTGATGTAAATAGTGAAAAAGCTCAAGCAATCAAACGTTTGAGTGATAATATTGAAATGGTAACATGTGATATTAGCAAATATGACGATGTCAAGCGGGCATTTCAAGATTCCTGGGCTATTTATGCTGTAACCGATTTTTGGGTACAACCTGATAAACCTGAAGTGGAATTACAACAAGGTCAATTAATGGCTGATGTGGCGGCTTCTCTTCAAATTCCATATTACATATGGAGTACATTAGATGATTCAAATAAATTAAGTGATGGAAAATTGTAAGTTCTTCATGATGAGAGAATATGGATACGAATCTATCTTTTTTAAGGAATATTCCATATTTTGCCCACAAAGCCCAAGTACGTGATTATATCGAACAGAAATATCCAAATTTAAAAGCAATCTTTGTTGAACTGGCTTATTATATGCAAAACTGGACAGGTTATTTTAAAGCACAAAAATCAGAGGATGGAACTGTGATCTTTGCCCTTCCTGTTGATCAAAAAACGATATTACCTTTGGCTGATGTTGACGATACAGGTCCTGTTATTGGTGAAATTTTGAATAATCCAGATAAATTTGTTCATCAAAATATTTGCATATGTGGAGAAGAAATTCCATTTGAAGATTTAGCTAAAGTCTTTACCAAAGTAACTGGTATCCCAGCGATATCTAAAACACTAACGGAAGAAGAATTTCGGTCTATACTCAGTCAAAAGCCGAAATTTATACAAGATGAATTACTGGATATGTATAAATTGTTGGAAGAATACAGTTGCTATGGGAAAAATAAAGATTGGACAACGGGAAAAAAACTAATGCAGTTAAACACATTTGAACAATGGTTGAAAAAATCCGGATGGAAAGGTGAATAATCAATCATATTCATATTTTAAAAGAAGCTTGACTGAATTGAAATCTAATGGAATAGAATCTTTTTATTAAAATAAAACGCATTCTCAATGACTAATTTTTTAGTAAGACAACACATGTTTATCAATCTGATGGATTCAAAATAGAATTGCTCGACGAAAAGATCAGATCCTAATTGAAAAAGTATTTCAAATCAATTTAATATGTTGTCATTGTTTCGTTTATTAATGTACACTCTAAAAAAATATATATTCTTGAAAACCCTTAGAGGGTTTCCGAGGTCTCGGAAACCCAGAGTACCCATTATAGCTAAACCCCAATTACCTCTTCAGAAACCGAAAGAGAAGGTTTCTGAATGTCGGTAAAGCTTTACCAAACTAGACTAGACAGGAATTAGGTATGTACCCAGCTTTTTTTCATTACTTTCGAACACTTTTATATTAACATCTTGAGCTCTGAAATGAAAGACTGAATCATGAGGTCTAACCTATCAAAAGATAGACCAAACATCGCTCTACAAAATGAGAC